AACATTTCAATCGTGACGGTGAAGAACTTTCCAATGAATTGAGATATATTGTTGGAGTGTGGAAGTTGATAGTTTATCGCAGCAGAATAATGTTGTGTACCACTACACAACATATTTTAGTTTATCACACGGAAAAAAAAATTACTAAAATATATTACATGCATGAAATATAATATATATAAGAGACATGCAAAGCTTTCTTTAAATTCATTCTGTAAAGATAGTTTCTGCGTAAAATTGCCGATCAACAATCTGTTAATAATTAACACGAAATGATCGACTTTATAATTTTTGTTTAACACATTTGTTGGATTACGTTTTTCAAATGATACCAAGAGATCCAAAGATCGAAGAATTAATAATTGGCACTAATAAAACTACCAAAGTGGTCCGGAAATGACCGACTTATCATATTTTCGTTAGACACTTTGTAGACGCAAAACGTAGTATATTTTTGAAGATCTAAATAATTTCTCGTAAAATATATGAATAGAAGCTTGTATACTCTATTGTATTATAAAATATCTTTATCCTTCTGTCTTCAATGTCTCTGATAGTTTCAGTGTTAAAAATTAGTAAACTAACATGAATTTTATACGCCAATTGTCAGCAACGTGGAGGATCAAATTTTGTTGCAGTGTAACACATCATTTCAAACTATAGTCACTCGTGAAGGAAAGCACCTATACAGAACTTTTCAACGTGTTAACAAAGTTTTAAAAGATTCCTCAAAGATGTGTCCTACGCTAAAGGACTGATTTTTATGAATTTTGTCTTGAGAAGTATGGATGTTATATTTCGTTCGTACAATCGTGTTCAGTTAACAATGACAACGGCAATCTTGAATTACAGGTGTCTCCACGGTGCCAAGTGTTCACCGTCCTCGAATTTCCTCGATTTCGCCTGCACTTGCACGGTCGGTTACACTGGCCGACTCTGCGACGAGGACGTGGACGAGTGTATAATGACCTCTCCGTGCAGAAACGGCGCCACTTGCAGAAACACCAATGGCTCCTATCAGTGCCTTTGCGCAAAGGGGTACGAGGGTCGTGATTGCATCATCAACACCGACGACTGCGCTTCGTTCCCCTGTCAGAACGGTGGCACCTGCCTGGACGGTATCGGTGACTACACGTGCCTCTGCGTGGATGGTTTCAGCGGGAAACACTGCGAGATCGACGTGGACGAGTGTCTGTCACAGCCGTGTCAGAACGGCGCTATCTGCAAGGAGTACGTAAACTCGTACACCTGTCAGTGTCAGCTCGGATTCTCCGGCATAAATTGTCAGACCAACGACGAGGATTGCACCGACAGTAGCTGCATGAACGGTGGTAAATGCATCGACGGGATCAACAACTATACGTGCGTCTGCAAGCCCGGTTACACCGGCTCCAACTGTCAGTATCGCATCAACGAATGCGACAGTTTACCGTGTTTGAACGGTGCCACGTGTCACGACCACGTTCAGTATTACACTTGCCACTGCCCTTACGGATACACCGGGGCTAGATGCGACCAGTACGTAGATTGGTGCGCGGACAATCCTTGCGAGAATCAAGCCACCTGCGTTCAGCACAAGAACAAGTATCAGTGTAACTGTTCCCCTGGCTGGACCGGCAAGGTCTGCGACGTCGAGATGGTTTCCTGCAAGGACGCGGCCATAAGGAAAGGAGTGCCCGAGAAAAATCTGTGTAACAACGGCACGTGCGAGGACATCGGCAACAGTCATCGTTGCCACTGCCTGGAAGGGTACACGGGTTCTTACTGTCAGGAGGAAGTGAACGAGTGTGACTCGGCCCCCTGTCAGAACGGCGCCACTTGCAAGGACCTCGTCGGATCTTACCAGTGTCAGTGCACGAAAGGTTTCCAAGGGCAGAACTGCGAGCTGAACGTGGACGACTGTAGGCCTAATCCTTGCCAGAACGGCGGCACGTGTCACGATCTTATCAGCAACTTCAGCTGCTCCTGCCCTCCCGGCACACTGGGCTTCATATGCGAGCTGAACGTGGACGACTGCGCTGTCGGCACTTGCCACAACAACGGGACCTGCACCGACAAGGTCGGCGGCTTCGAATGCAAATGTCCGCCAGGCTTCGTGGGACCTAGATGCGAGGGTGATATCAACGAGTGCCTGTCCAATCCCTGCGCATCGCCGGGGACTCAGGACTGCGTGCAACTAGTCAACAACTATCACTGCAACTGCAAGCCTGGCTACATGGGACGCCACTGCGAGGTGAAGGTGAACTTCTGCGACAGCTCGCCGTGTCAGAACGGCGGCGTTTGCACCGCGAAGCAGGCTGGCCACACGTGCCTCTGCCCGAGCGACTATTACGGGAACAACTGCGAGTTCGCCGGTTCCTACTGCGACCGGGAGCCTTGCTTGAACGGCGGTACCTGCAGAGTGGTTGAAACAGAGATCGGGTACAGATGTTACTGCCCACCGGGAACAACCGGCACCCACTGCGAGATAGATTCCAGGGACGAGTGCGCCAGCAACCCCTGCCAACAACCCAACGCCGTTTGCAAGAATCTTCTTGGCGACTACGCTTGCGACTGCCCGCCGAAATGGACCGGCAAGAACTGCGAGATTTACGATCCCAACTACGGCGGCGGTATCTTTGGCAGCCCGAACTCGAACATCCCGAAAACTATGAACGCGTACGATCTCGATCTGGAGTTGGAGAGGAAGAAGTGCATCGAGAACAGGTGCGAGGAGAAGTCTGGTAACCACCATTGCGACGAGGAGTGTAACAGATACGCGTGCAACTTTGACGGGAACGATTGTTCCTTGGGTATCAATCCGTGGCGCAATTGCACCGCTCCCATCAACTGTTGGGACGTGTTCATGAACGACGTTTGCGACGAAGTTTGCAACAACGCCCAGTGCTTGTTCGACGGGAGAGACTGCGAAAGGAAATTGGCACCGTGCAAGTAAGTAACTTCAATTGGAAAAACTTGCGAAACTTGCGTTTCCATGTAATCTTACTAATTTGTATTTTCTTTTTTTTTCTTTTCCTTCACCCAGTCCCATCTACGACGCCTACTGTCGCAAACACTACGCCAACGGATACTGCGATTACGGCTGCAACAACGAGGAGTGCAACTGGGACGGTCTGGATTGTGACAGAGAACCACCGTCATTGGCAGAGGGTGTGATCTCCGTGGTAGTCAGGATGGACATGCAAACGTTCCGCTCGAACGTGGTCGCGTTCCTGCGAGACATCGGCCACGAATTGAGAACCACGTTGAGGGTAAAGCAGGACGAGCTCGGCAACGACATGATATACCCGTGGAAGAGAGAAAGAGAGCACGGTTTGCAAACCAACATCTTTGGCCGACCGGCCACCATCTACACCAACACTCAGAGTGGTGTGATCGCCTATCTGGAGATTGACAATAGAAAATGTACCGTCACCCAAGGAGCAGTGTGCTTCCCGTCGGCGAACGAAGCGGCGGAGTATCTAGCAGCCACTGCGTCCAAACATTCCTTGTCCCGAAACTTCCCCATCGAGCAGGTGCGAGGCGTGGTGGGACCGCAGGGTCCAGAGTACCCGGACGCGCCGACCAACTACAAGTACGTTTTCATCGGTATCGTGATCGTGGTGCTCGGAGGGATGTTGGTCGGTGTGTTGGTCACGGCGCAAAGAAAACGAGCGGTGGGCGTCACTTGGTTCCCAGAGGGATTCTTGCGCACCAGCAGCGGAAGCGGTCAGCGTCGTAGGTCGAGGAGACGAGGTCCGGACGGCCAAGAAATGAGGAACCTGAACAAACAACCTTCGGTGAACTGCATGGACCTCGACGTAGGGAACGGGAGGGCGCAACAGTGGTCGGACGACGAGTCGGATTTACCACCATCGAAGAGGATGAGAGCGATAGAGCCTGGATACGCCAGCGATCATACCGCAATTACGGATTACGAGGAGACGGAGCCTCGAATGTGGACTCAGCAGCACTTGGACGCCGCGGAGATTCGCAGACCGGACGCTGGAGTGTTGACACCACCGAGTCTCGAGCACGGCCAAGACGTGGACCCGAGGGGACCCTGCGGGATGACACCGTTGATGGTCGCTGCCGTACGAGGTGGTGGATTGGACACCGGGGAAGAGGAGGACGAAAGCGACGGAACGGCGGCTGTGATCGCCGATCTGGTCGCCCAGGGTGCAGACCTGAACGCCACCACGGACAAGAGCGGCGAGACGTCTCTTCACCTGGCGGCTAGGTACGCCAGAGCTGACGCAGCGAAGAGACTGCTCGATGCTGGCGCCGACGCCAACTCGCAGGACAACACCGGTAGAACGCCTCTTCATTCGGCCGTCGCCGCTGACGCGATGGGAGTCTTCCAAATACTGTTGAGGAACAGAGCGACGAATCTGAACGCCCGTATGCACGACGGGACCACGCCGTTGATACTCGCCGCCCGCCTGGCTACCGAGGGCATGGTAGAGGATCTCATCAACGCTGACGCCGACATCAACGCAGCTGACAACAGTGGGAAAACGGCCCTGCATTGGGCCGCGGCTGTCAACAACGTAGACGCCGTGAACATACTTTTGGTTCACGGCGCGAACAGAGACGCGCAGGACGACAAAGACGAGACGCCGTTGTTCCTCGCCGCCAGGGAAGGCAGCTTCGAAGCGTGCAAAGCGTTGCTCGACACTTTCGCCAACCGAGAGATAACCGACCATATGGATCGATTACCGAGAGACGTGGCCAGCGAGAGACTGCATCACGACATCGTCCGATTGCTGGACGAACACGTACCCAGATCGCCGCAGATGGTGAATGTGATACCAAACGGCCCTCTCATGGGCTCGCCGAATCATCCGCAACTCATTACGCATCCGACTGTGATCGGTTCCGCGCCGAAGCAAGCCAAGTCGAAGAAACGGCCGAAAAACGGCGCCACGGGGAATCCGAACAGTCCCGAGTCGGAGGCCGGTGTCGTGGTGGTGAGGCGAAAACCCTCGGTGAAGAAGCCACCGGCGAAACGCGGTGCTCAGCCCCCAAACCAGGAGATCCCTCAGGGTGCGGAGGGGGCGGAGGGAAACTTGCCGAGCCCGTACGACAGCGCGAGTTTGTACAGCAACGCGCTACCGTTGGTGAGCCACACAGCCACGGCGAAACAACCACCGCCGTACGAAGACTGCATAAAGGGGCAGTCGATGCAGGGCCTTCAGCAGTTGGGCCTGGACACGTTCACGACCAATTACGGGTTGCCTAATTTTCACGACCAACTGCTAGCGTCGCACCAACGACAAGCGCAAGGGATGGTGAACACGTTGTCGCCGCCGTACAGTAACCAGTCACCGCCGCACTCGGTCCAGTCGAACATGACCCTGTCGCCGCAGGCGAGCTACATGGGCTCGCCGTCCCCGGCGAAGAGTAGGCCCTCGTTGCCTACGTCGCCCACCCACATCGCCGCTATGAGGCAAGCGACGCATCAGAAACACGGTGGCATGCCACCGGTGGGGTTCGACTTTGAGAATCTGCCCTATTCGTCGAGTCAGCAGCAGCAGCAACAGCAGCAGCAACAACAACAGCAGATGCAACAGACGCAGCAGCAGATTCAGCAGCAACAGCAGCAGCAGCAACAACAACAGCAACAACAGCAGCAGCAGCAGAG